ATTAATTTTTGGACTACAGACCACAAGAATCCTCAGTCATCAAGGCCATTAACTATACTGTTTGGAGATTTCTGGGATCTTTTTTTTGGGGGGGGTAGGGGTGGAGCTTCTACAAACTTTGTTTCCATGGTCAGAGACAGCACCGTGCCTGACGGCTTCTCTTGGGGATCAACCAAATAAAAAAATGGGGGAAAGTTTTGCTGTTATCTCAGGCTTTTCAAAAGTGTATTGCTGACCACCACTAGAAGCCAGTAAGCTCCTCTTATGTTCTTGTAACCTTCCACATTTTTATGTGAAAATCTTTTAGATCTAGCCTTATCATGGCAATGGATGGCCTCCCTTTTAAGCAGTGGCCACACGACTTTGATCAACTATTGTTCAGGTGGCTTTAAGGCAGTGATGAATGTGGATAATAAACCCTTAATGAGATGCCTAATGACTAGAGGATGCCATCACCTAAGCACTGGCAGGAGCTGTACAAGTGTACACATGATCCTGTTTTAGCAAAATATTCTTCTCTCCTTTCTCTGCTCTCCCTGGGAATTCAGAGTTTTTGTTACTCTAAATTCCTCAGTACTACACTTATCTTCCCAGTGATCTTATCAAAGAAATCTATTCATAAGTTAACCAGAGGTTATCAGAGATGCAAGCGGATTCTTCTCTGTACCTTAGCAAACAAAACAAACAAAAAACTTAATCGAAATTGAATGGTTGAATTCTACTGCAGAAAAAAATATTTTCAGAGGGAAGAACACATTTTCTATCCCCTTGTTCCCAAGGGAAAATACTGCCATCAGAACGTTCTGAGTGCCACAGAATCACTCTTTAAAAATAATCACTGAAGCTTATAGACCTATACTTGCTTATACACTAGGCATAGTGGATGGAATCCTCCAGAGAACTTTTGAGTCCCTAAACATATATTGTTCAGCCATTCTGGCTTTCTGGCCATTCTTTCTGAAGAGATAAAAATGTGAATAAAAGGCTGTGAAGAATAAGATTTGCTGGGCTTCATTGCTGCCAGTCCTCTGCCTCAGCTCCAGGGTCATCCCTATCTTTTGCCCCATCCAAACATTCACCACTTAATAAATAAACTATTTAGCTTGGATGTTTTAATTTAACCCACTCTAACTTGCTTAGATGGTCTTAAAGACATATTTGTGCTTCACAAATTTTTGTAAAACACAGAAATCCTTACAGACATTCTGTGAATTCATGGAAGGAAAAGGAACCGAGACTTATCTCAGGTAACAGACTGAGAAGGGTGGCAGAACAAGAGCATCCGACAATCTGCCTGAAATAAGTGCCTTTCCTGCCAGCTACTAACACTCAAACCCCAGTGTTGGCAACAACCCCATGACTGTATACTCCATGCCAGACTAGCATGCTGTTGGGCTTCCTGACTGCCGTTCACCTGACTGTGCACTCTGCCAGCCAGACTGTAGAATGCCACTTGGTGGATCATTTTCTCTTATGATTTCAATATAGAAGCCATCACACTCAAAATTGAACAGAAAATTAGGGACTGTAGTTGCCAACCAGGCATGCTACAGGCACCAACATCTGGATATAACAGACCTCTGAACCACTAGAATTTTTGTGATTAGGCTGCATGAATGAGACCATTATGTGCAGACCTCCTGCAAGTGCCACCTGGCCAAGGTGCTGCCAGGTCTTAAGAGTGATCAGCACAGTTCTGATGAAGCTGCATAGATTCTCTGTGGAGCTGTCAAAAATGTAGTGGTTGATGGTAGTATGGGAGCAGTGACAGGCTGGCAGAAGCTTTGTTCGATAAACAGATGGAAAAAGTGTGGGTCTAGCCCAGAAGGAAGGCAGCTCTGATTGTATCCACAGCCCCATGTTCCAGTGCTTCACACTTACGACTCCCAGGCCATGAAAATAATGCATGCAAATAAGTAAGATATTCTGAACATATTCAATGAAGATCTAAAATGGACAGGAAGGGGACTAAATCAGGACTCTGCCCGTTATTCTACCAAAAAACCAAATAAGTAATTGCATTCAATTCATGTAATGCAACCAAAGTTTTGATCTCGGACTCAGTAAGGTTGCCTCAAATAAAATTAGCTGTCCTTTAAACACTATCCGGTGCCTAATTAAAAGCCTGAGCTGCATGGATAGCTCAATGGTTTAATTATATGGCTGAGGAGCCAGAAGTTGGGTGATTCCTCACTATGCCTCCTAAGAGTACAGCCAGTGTGTGGTCTTGAGCAGTGGTTCTTAACCTTGGGTTACTCGGGTGTTTTTGGACTGCAACTACCAGAAGCCTTCACCACCAGCTGTGCTGGCTGGGGTTTCTGGGAGTTGCAGTTCAAAAACACCTGACTAACCCAAGGTTAAGAACCACTGGTCTTGAGCAAGCTGCACAGTCCCACGATGACCTCAGAAGAGGCAAATGGAGTACTTACTCTGAATATTCTCTACCTGGAATATTCTCTACCTGGAAAATCCTGAAAAGGGTCACCATAAATCAGTCACCAGAATTGACTTGATGGCACATTGTTATTATTAATTAAAAGCCTAGAACACATCTGCAATTCGGAGGGTGAATTGAAGTAATGGAAATTGGATAGGGCTTGATCCTGATATATCTCACATCTTATTATCCAGCACACAAACTGCATCTGTAGACAGTGGGAACAAATCGAGGGCTGACAGCCACCATCATGGCTGTGTGGTGGTATGAGTGAGCGTTTCAAAAATTAAGTAATTCATTGTTGAACTCATTATGGAACCCCAATAATGACTCTGTACCATTATTATGTGGCTCATTTCCTTGTGTTACTAATTATTTTTAGTTATCTTGTTAAGAACTGGGGGGAAAAAAGAATCCATTTGGAACACACAAAGCAACAATGGGGAAAAGTGAGCATAAACGTTACTCACTACTTGAAAAACCAAAGTTGTCACCAGGTGTTATGCCCTAGTTATCCCCGAAAGTAACATCTTTCATATATTACTATTAATTAGAACAAGCTACCTTCAGTCTCTAATATAGGGATATGTGCCCATACATGTTCACTGTGTCTATTCAGTAGAATTAGAAGAACAAAGCTGCTTCACAAGCTGTAAGAAAATGGCAACACTGCATTGTGCACCAGCACTTTAGACTTTTTCAGAGAAAAATTACACCTCTGCAGAAAAAGCATTCAATTCTTCATCTCTTCTTATTGTAGTGCCAGTAAAAAATGGAACTGATAAATTGTTTTGTGTATGGTAATGTTTACATTTCAAAATAAACATATGACATTGTTTGATTAATTTGTTAATTGCTTTGGGTATGCTGGGGTGGGGAGGTGGAATATTTAATAAATAATAATAATAATAATAAAAACCCTACACCCCTCCTCTATTGGAAGATATGTGCTCCAAGTATGAGAACAGCTTAAGTATCTCAGTCCTGGCATAAAATGTACAAGTTCCCATTTGACATAAAAATTGGAAGCAAACAATAGTATTTTCTGGTAGGATGTAAAACCTATGTCTCCTTGATTGTGCTGCCTTGGCAGAGGTTCCTGGCAGAAGAAATGCAGCATAAATTTCTTCTCTTCTTGAAAAATACTCTGTATTCCCTTAAAAAAACATTGTGTGGGGTTGTGTTTTGTTTTTAAATTATAAAAATGAACTTTGGGCTGAGCCAAAATAGCTGTTGTGCTTTCATTTCTATGTTTCTGAAAGAGAGGGAAAGTTTTTCAAAGTAATACAGGGCACTTGATTATTGATACTTGTTATGTGCGTGAGGCAGAGAGCCAATCTTGCTTCCCTTGACATTTGCATGAAGGAGTAAAGAGGACATTTCAAAATCATCAGAAGCTGACTAGAGATGAAACAGAAACATGAGCATTTTTGTGCCTTTCTCTATTGTTGCCTAACCAATCTCTTCAACCACTCAACAAGATTTTCTTCCTGCCATTGCACCTGTTCACCTTTTTTAAAAAATGTTATGTTTTATGCATTTTTTAACAGTACTATTGTGTTGCATTTTATTGTGTTGTAACTGATTGGCAGCTTTCTTCAGTTGGCTCCTTAAATAAACAAACAAACAAAAACAAACAAATAATAGAACACTGAGCAATGAAGGGCTGTTTTGGAGAAAACTTCTTCAGGATGAAAACCTCAATTCTGAAGGTAAACTTCAGGAGTTTCAGAATGTTTGCCTGAGCCCTGTTTGCACTTATATCAACCAACAACACATTTACCTTGAAAGAAAAAAAACATTGTTTTCAACAAATGGTGCCTCCGAGCGTCTAGATGTTGAGAAAGCACATAGTACACAGTAAAAATGCGGTAGATTTAGCAGGCTATTTGGCTTAGCTATAAGAATCTTAGGATTCTGTTCAGCCAGAATATTCTCAGGGAGATGAGAACTGAGTTTAAAACCTAATGTACAGGACTGTTTTATGAATAAATGATTACCATGTATGAATATATCTTCTGCTACAGAAATGACAAGTATTTCCCACAAACAGTGACAGCCATATAATATTAGAAAAAAAAGGTGGGATACCAACGTCCAGCCTAGGTACACTACACTTTCTGGTAAAAAAAAAAAGAATGACATTGACATGTCTGAAAGCATATGATAAACATGCACCCTGGAACTATGACCAAATATGGTTTTTTGGAGCATATTCCATGTAGACTGTGAACATCCATCATTTTTTTTCAAAAAGTCAGAAGGGAGACATGTTATGGTGGAAGTATAACTTGGACTAGGATCTCAAGGAGCTGTGGTGGTAGGGGACTCGTAGCTTTTCAAAGCTTTGTGTGGAAGCATTGAAAATTAACTTTCACACCATAATGAAAAATATCCTAACTGGAGAAATCAGCAATTTCTTTGTGTTGTTATTTTTATCAAAATACTGTCCTCGGCTTCGAAACAGGCTTGTTGTTGGGGCACCCATTTGCTTTCCCCCTATACCAAAGTAATGTAAGAGATTTCAACATGGATTCAGCTGGACTGTTATTGTCCCTGTTACCTCCAATTATTGCAGAGTCACTCCTTAGAGCATTAGCTAAAGGCTCTCCCTCATCTATTGGTCCCGAATGATCTGTAGCAGAAACAAAAAGGAAAATGACAGAGGCAAGCAAAGAGGAAAGTTCTCAAAATATCCATACTGTATGTAGCTACATACAGTTATAAATAAGGGGTGCACAAGCTAGAGCAACTACACAAAACTGCTAATAGCAAAGTATTGTTGGTTTTCCCTGTGTTTTTTTCCAAGTCATACTGTATATAACTAAATAACACTCACATATACAGACCCAGCACACAGGGGAAAAGACAAAGGTTGAGGGGGTGGTTTGGAAGAAGTCAACAACGCTGCACCCTATCCTTTGCGTGTACTGCCAGGTAACATAGTGGCAGTGATCTTAATTCTAAACCATTGCCTTGCTTTCTGGTTCAAAAAGCCAAGCACATCTGAGGCACACATTTGCTACCTGCAAGTGAATGGGTTGTTTCTCCTGAGGTTGTGTCGGCTCCTGTTAAAGTGCCACAGTTGGAATCCGTAAGATGTCCTTTCACGGTGACTGGAACTGAGCTGGAAGGATCCAGCGCAGCCTTCAGAGGAGCAATATGGTTGAACTGCACTGAAGAGAGACATCCTATAAACCCCTGAGAGTTTGCCTTCATGGTGTCTGGGTCCACATCACTATTCTCTGCTAATCAAAAGAAACAGAACACAATTAATCATAGTGCAAACGTACAAAACAAGGAGACAGATGAATAATTGAATAATTAACCTGTATTCCTCTGTGTCTCTGCATGCTCTGGCAATGTATGCAAATTTGCTGTCTCTCCATTTTTTCAGGCTTTATTTAAGGAAAAGATAGTCAAATATATTCCACATTAAAAGAAAAGCATGAATGGCACTTGCTGGCCTGCTAAGGGAGATTCTTTTAACTAGCACAGGAAATTCCAGAGCATAAAAAGAAAAAATATATAAAACTCAGCTCTGATATTTAAATTAATACATACCTATTTTCTCAGTTCTATGTAAGGAACAAATATGCATTAAAAATATCTCGGCCATAATATCTGTCCTTTTATACAACATGCTGTGTAAAATCTATCAACAGTACTTCAGTCAGTTCCAATTCAGTCAGTCTTAGCAGACTTTAGATCCTAGATGTCTATTGTGGAATAGACATGTAGGATTTTTTTTTCAGAAATACATCTTACATACAAGACCAATACAGTAGTTACTTGGTAAACTGTGCAGGGTAGGGGTGGAAGGAATGGAGTGTAATTTTGTTAATACTACCTTACTATCATTGCGAACTATGTGCAAATCATGTGGATAAAGTTTCTAATGCATAAATGGTGAGGCATATAATATTCATCACACAAAAGATAAGCCTGTAGAAGCTGTGTTTCCTTGCAAAGATAATGAAAAACATAATTTCATAAAGTCAACTCTATTTCATAGTGTACTACCTATCGCTCTATCAAGACTTGCAAATATTACAGAATAATTTGAAGGAATCCAAGCCTTTCTGATGATGGTAATCAGTGCTATTGTTTCAATAAACACCTGTATGTTAATTTGTTCCTATCTGCAGGATAATGGTATTCAGAGCTCAATTTTATCATGTCAAGTGAAGATTACTCTAGGTTATGGCAAAATGTCAGGTTAATGTCTCTATCAAGCATGCACTGCACATTTCTACACAAATCTTTGCCTAGTACACTAGAAACCTGTGACACAGTTATTCATACATAAAAGGATGTTCTTCAGAACACTAATAACTGGAAGATTCTACCACATGTGGATGTTTTAAAGACTTGGTGCTTGTCAAGAGACAGTGATGACCCTTTGATATAATTTGAATTTATCGTGGCTGCGATTGAGTGTAGTTCCCATGAGGAAAAATGGGAAAAGGAAGAACATACAGACAGGAACTTAGATCAAAGCATCTAAAAGACTCCAGGCTTGTAGCCCTGGTAGTTCAACCTTGTGATATGTAAATCAAGAGAAGCCAAAATTGACAATTGAGGAAGTTAAGCTGGCTATGATAGCTTGAAGGAACAATGGACACCTAAAAGATTCAAAGGATTTGTATCTCAGTTCCATGTCTCCTGAATTCATATATGGAAGTCTTTGATGCATGGGAATAAAGGCTTCAGGGAAAACTTAAAGCCGGGTTTCTGAAGAGAGAGGTTAAGAGGAGGAGGAGGAGAAAGAAGTTAGGATGGATTTGGTTTGCTGGGTTAGATGAGGGAAAATGATAAGAACTCTGATGATGAACAGTTACACCTGCCATGCTGAACAAGATCTGTGAGGGAAAGGACATGCATAAGTCCTTAGCTGAATAACCATGCTTTCAAGAAAGGTTTAGGAAAGGAAAATTTAAGTAGTTGAGCCATCATGAGGCTGCCCCTCATGACAGATTGGTTTTATTGTTTTGCTAGTGTGTAGTTATTTGATTGATGTTCATTGCTGGAAACAGTTTGCCAAATATTTGAGCTTGATTGCCATTGCATAATTTTATTCATTTCCCCAGAAGCTCGTTCTTTGATTGTGTACCTGTTTCTTATTACTTTGCAGCCATACTGTCGCTGGCTTCGTCAGGTGCAATTTCCATTTTATTTTATTTTACTTTGCTTCCATCTTTTAAATAAAGCTTTTAAAGAGACCTCTGGTCTGGAGATGGGTTTTGAGAGAAACTCTGGTTAACTAAACCCTGGCCAGAATCTCAGTCACTGACTACATGGTGTGCCTCTGAGGCATGTTGAGATTTCTCTGTACAGTATTCTGGTTCACTTGGGGATGGCAGCAGCTTCTACTGGAAACTGGAGCTTAGGTCAGTTTAAGTTCAAGGTTTAGAATGCTTTCCAAGGGTTCTCCCACCTTGAGGAATAAGCACTAGTCACTCAATGTTCCACTGGGAAAAGGCTCAGAGAGAGGAATCCTGCAACAGTACTACTGCCACATGACTTATTTATCTAAATATAGTTTTTTGGTATGTTAGCAAGAACTGTAGTTTTATTCACGACATGGAGAAAACAAAGTTCTATTATTGTAAGTGTTATGTAAATGCATGGAAGAGCTATTATATAAGCATGCCTCCTTCCACTGATGCTCTTCTTATGTTACATATGTTGAGGGTGGCTGTCCACATTGCAAAGCCTTCCATGTGAGTTGTAATCCCAGTAGAGCATGGTTGATGTTTATCTGTTTTCTGGGATCAAGAGAGTTATCATATCAACTCTGTTAGTTCTATAAAGACAGGTTACTGACATCTACAATGTACAGGACGTCAGTTTGCCTTTGACAGCTCCTCATAATTCTATTTCATAAGTTTCACATATAGCTACCAGATGGCTAATTAGGATTGCTAGTTGGAAAAATATCTCTTTAGTCTTTAAAGAGCTTTAGTGGGTGCCAAACTGTTTCTAGGCAAAATTCAATATTTTGCTGGTGAATATTTTAAATCCAATAATTGGTCAGGACCTATTTGAAGACACTGGCTGAAATCCTGTTGCTCAACATAGTAAGCAGCATTAGAACAGACCCATTGAATCAATAGAGATAAGTCAAATCCTACGTAGGTTCCACTGATTCAAAGAGGCCTTCTAACCAACTTTAGAGGTAAGCCCATTGCACTTGCAATTCTTAGATTTTACTAAAAATATTTAACAAGAATGTTTCCATTGCACGCTACTCCATATGTCTGAGAAGGGACTAAATGAAATATGTTGTCCCTGCACTAAATGAAGGGGTTATAGTTTAATTTTAGAAACGGAAATCTCTGATTACAGATAAATGACAGCATACGGCCCGTGAGCCGCTCCTATCTGGCCCGCCGGTCATCGCTCCAGTCTGGCCTGCCCATCACCACTCCTGTCCGGCTCGCCTGTCACTGCTGAGTGAGCTGGAGCTCCAGCTCCAGTCACCCAGCACAGCAGTAAACAAAACTCACGAGACCCAATGCTGGGATCTCACGTGTTTTGACTGTTACTCTTGAGCCGCTGGTTGTGGAGCCTGCGCCTCAAGAGGCCGGAAGCGATACTTGTGCAGGCGACGTGATAACACATCACGTTGCCTGCGCAGGATAGAAGACTTGCGCAGGCGACGTGATAACACATCACATTGCCTGCGTGGGATAGAAGACAGTTGGAGAGGAAGGCCGCGGGTTAATGGAGGACAGGTGAGTTAGCTCAGTGTTGATTTTTTTTCCTCCCTTTCCCCCCGCAGTGAACGAATTACAATGCTCACATAGTTAACTCCTTAAAAAGTTTAGGGAGTTAACTATGTCAGCCTTGTAGTTCGTTCACCGCAGGGCCTCACCCAATGGGGGCCTATTACTATCCACAAATTGGGGCCCTATTACTACCGATTTAATGGGGGCCTATTTTTAGGTAAAGTTGATTCGGCCCCCAAACACAGTTCAGATTTTTCATGTGGCCCCCTATAGAAATTAACTGCCCACCCCTGGTTTAAAGAGTCAAAATGGAAATGTATATACATTTTTTTTCATTATTTGGGAAATCATGCACACACATACACATGCCTCCTTTCTAACAAAAGACTAAGCAGTTAAAAACAACAAGAACCACCATTCATGTTTTGTAAATGAACCTGTAAAAACAAACACTGAAGAAACAGAATTGTTGGAGTTTGGGAAACAGGAAGCAACGTTTTGTCTGTAGGCATGCTCTCATTCTTGAACTTTCATCTGATCCATGAATGGTTCTTTGTTATTTTCCATCTCGAGAATGTTCAGGAAAAGAAGATACAGTCATGCCACACAGAGACTTTGAGTTGGAACCTATTTCAATTTCTTTCTCACACATTTTTCCCTCAGAAGAAAAGAGGCAGTGGTTAGAAATTCATGGCACATAACAGAAATATTGACAAAACAGCATAATTATGAGACTTCTATTAGATAGTTTGGCTCCAGATTCATGGATTTGTTTTTAGACATTTCTATAGACCATACTCTTTACAATAATGCATTTTGTTTGCATGCTTTTTTTTCCTGTTTTGCTGAAATTGTTGTTCACCTGCAGCACATGTAGAGGTTGAGAGGCATTCAATTACAGCACTATGTTAATTCTTCCCACTGAGAATTAAAATTTCAGTTGTTGGTAAATTAATGTAGTTACACAAAAATCCAACTGCTTGCATGTTCTCTTTCAGTTTCCAGGTGCAAAATGTCATTCACAAAGCAAACATTAAGCATGCAAATTCTTCTGTAAATTATTTCCTTTCCCTTTTTTGTTTTAGAAGTAAAGACTTGCTTTTACAAACTATACCATTTGAAGCATGAGATTGCCATTTATGTAAAGCTGAAATTAAATTATGCAAAGCATTACTTCCTATTCAAATTTAACCCAAGAAAATGGTGCAGGTATGAAATGTGGAACACTGCAGAATTTCTCTCACTGAAACATCAGTGGCATGTGCTATTTAGTTATCTAATTGGAAGGTAAGGTGTTTAGAGAAATTATTAGTGAGTGTTCAGCATTTCTTCGCATATCCAGAATAAAAGGAAGGTCTTTTTTCACGAACACATAACAGCTTAACATAATAAGGATATCTGTAACAGTTACTCAAAATGTGTGACAAATGTGTCACATTTAAGACAAAGAAGTGTTATTTTGGCATGAGTTTTCATGGAAAGTCCATTTGTTCAGGTGCATGGTGCGCAGTATACTA